AATAATATCCGGAGCTATATTCTCGAAAATATGAAATGATCAAGACATGTTTCCAAAGATAAATTTCACTGAGTTGAGCGATACCGCTCGTATTGATTGATTCGAAGCGGCTCATACGGTATTTATGCGTTTGCGCAATCTGCGCTGCCTTGGAAAGCTTCTCAATTCGTTGATTCAAGACAAAGAGTCCATATTTCGAAGCAGCGTCGAGAGCACTAAAGAATCACATACCTTTCGAATTACAAACCTAAAAACAGGCTCCCTTGATCTTCACCACCACACAACTACGTATACGGTAACCGCCATGATCTACCGTCGATGATGCCGCCGAAAAAAAAGGCGTTCTGCCGAAATCGAGGGAATGACAAAAAGTCAGAGACTGTGGACACTGTGGAGAGCGCAGACGATCAGAGTGGTCGCCGACAACCTTAGTCGTAGATCGGTACTAACGCACACATACATATGAGTATTGAAACCAAGACAAAGGAAAATTCGGATCAAGGTTCGCCGTGCAAAACGTACACGATTGCATCGCGCTTCCGACGCTGATTTCAGATATGGAATGAAGTTATTATGTTTATGTTTTTAAACAAGTTGAATCAAACTAATAAAAATAAAACTTCAAATATGGAAAACATTTTTGACAGACGGAACAGAATACTATGTATGACTTTGCAGCGACCCTAAAGGTGCTATCCAAGACTGAGTTAGTGGAGTGAATTCCAAGCGCCAGAAAGGTAATGTTACCGGCAAGCATGCGGGGCGTACCGTCGTCGCGGCACGAATTGCCAAGCAAAGGCGTCCCTCCATAGTACAGAGAGAAAAGGCCTCTATTTTTAGGGTTCTCCGCAGCTTCTGTAGCATCTGGTCTTCTCTCCGTTACCAGTCCATTTTGCACCTCGACCAATTCTCGAGAAAGGAGAAGAGACCCTTGATTCTGGGGTTTACATTTGGAGCAAATGGACTCGTGCAATGGACTCGTGCACAAAAATAATAAACACATCAGACAACTTGCCCGAAAGTTCAACCCTTTTTTGGAATCAGTGCCAGTAGAGTACGCTGCGTTGCGCTTGCGCTCGCGTTTCGATGAAAAAAGGCACCCTATGGGCAGTATCGCATCCTTCCCCATGGGGTGGGTCTCCGTCGTGCGTTTATTACTGGGGATCTGAGGTTGGAGGGGGGGGGGGGTGGGAAAGGAGACAAGCGTTGTGACCGCATGATCGCGTGATGCTGTAGCTACCCGACATTCTTTCCCTGTGAGGGTTCGCGCTGTCTGCTGGAGTCTAGAAACGCGGAGTATGGCAGGTTCTATAACGCAACCCTGTCCCCCAAGCTTAGGATCGGCGGGGACGCTGGGAAAGAAAGTGAGGATACGGCCCACGGACATTGGAATGGGTTTCAGTGGTTTGATACCATTTTACAGTGCACAGTATTATGTTTTTACAAAATTTCACATAGAGAAGAGGGACTCACCGCCCAGTCCAAAGACTTTCCAATGTACTGATGCAAAATCAGCAAGTCTGATATCCTTGTAACTGAGCTGTCCAAATGATATTGCATGGTCCGAGCAACAGCCAAGAACAACTTTGCCCTATAATAATGAGGGTTTTTGTGTTAACTCACGTTTAGAATACTAATGAACCAAGAATCGATACCCCGTGGTTATGTTTAGCCTGGTAGGCTTCAGGTATCAAAGTCTTGAGATCCTTGTCGTGGAATAGATGCATACCATCCTGAAATACTTTCCTTAGGGATACGAAGACCTGCAGTTGATGTGCACAAAAGCGCGCTGTTCAAGGTAAAATAATAAACTAGCACCGTGGGTGGTTTTTTTACCAAAGCCACGGGACTTGTCATGACGTCCGCCTCGCAACCGCACGCTGGAGTGCAACGTGCTCTGTTCAAGTCTGTGCACTTTATTTTCCGGCTGCGCATATCACTGCTGAATAAGCACCACAAACTGCCAGTACTGCAGTCTTTGATTTGCTTTTTTCCTAACGGCGAGGCTTGACCGTGTTTCGTGACGCGCACGCGTGATATCGATTTTTTCAAGGCCGTCGCTTCACGCGCTACTATCTGCATTTATGACACGCATGGCAGCGGAAAACAAACTTTAGGTAGCCGCGAAAATGCGGTCAATAGATTCAGTTCAGTAGAATCGCTATTTTAGCCATGCGAATCAATCCTCTAATAGGATATCCCAAATCATAGACAGTGCCGAGCAGGGGAGTCTTAAAGAACAAATTCAGGCAGATTAGTTGAACGACTTCCTGTCGGCATAAAATAGACCCCTAGAGGGACAGCAAATGTGGGCGTTGCCGTGCACGGAAACCAATACGACAAGTGCGCTAGGGCCTGTGCAAGTTGCTGGCAGCGCGTGCTGGGTTTACGAGGGATCTTTGTCTGGCGCTCCTATCCACTGCGCTCTTCGCCTCGATACTGGGCTCTCGCGCTTCAGTCTCTCACTGCCCTCATCTTAGGAAGGTGAGTGAGTCTTTGGCCTAAGCGTTTTCGATGGATTCCTCATTACTGCCAGACCATTCCGCACCAGTACATTCGCAATCGTGTGCAAGAATCACTTCAGTATGAATCTGGGCATGTCTTTGATCCTTCATCGTTTCGAAGTCAAACTGCATACCTCATCGACAGGATCCATAGCTTTGATTCCTTCTTCTGTGGCGCATGCGATCAGAGCTGATTCGGTGGCTCTTGGCCAAAGGAGGCCGTTACATCGCGACAATGTCTTTATGGCCTGAATGTTTTAGTGAAAAGTGAGTCAAACGACTAAATTAGATATTTTGGTGAAATATATGATTTTTTCGACTATCGAACCCTTCGCTCCTGATCGAACTATTTTTTATGGAATAATATAAATTGATATTACCGATGAAGTCATCACAATGCCGCTTTGTAACGACATTCGTTGACGCTGAAGAAATGGGAAGATAAAGGAGATGATTGGTCTGAATAAGAAACGATTAAAAAGTATGATAGGAAAAAAGTGAGCACGTTCTCCTAAAGGTAGTGTTCGCGATGAAGTGCGTCTGCGGGTGCTAGACTTAAAGACACATTCCACGATTACACTATGTGGGTTAACGTATGAGTCACTAGGTTCCATGTGAGAATGCAGTGGAGACAGAATCACAAGAAATTGTCGGAACTTTTAAATTGAGCCCTCTTCTACAGCTGATCGATGGCACTGTACCACTGAGGCGAAGGGAACTCAGGTCGGATGGGAGGTTCGTGCGCCAACGGGATGAGAGATCATAGACACAAGAGAAACTCAGACAGGGACGTATTTGAAGGGGTTTAGGGCCTAATGTTGTCGTCTCTAAGCTGTCTCCCGTCACCCTATGACACATTTCGCCCCTATTACACTTCTGCGCCATTTTCGCAGGGATGGCGCATTCTACACGTCATCCAGAAGTTCACCGTGGAAAGTGTTTTCGGGACGAGTTTTCCGCTAAGTAGGCCATACAGTAGATCATACTTCTGAATTGAGACAACAATTAGTCGCGTGACTGAACGGTAGTAAGGGTCCCAGGAAAGGTCTTTTACCAGAA